GCATACAGTACCCATATAATAACCATATAATGCATTGTCTATACTTTATCTTATACATGTATTACGTCACAGCTACCCTATCTAGATATGGCATGCAGTACCCATATGAAACCCATAACCATGTAATGCAATTTCTACGCAATCTTATACCCCTATAACGACACAGGTACCCAATCTAGATATAGCAGTACCCATGCACCTCAAAGGCCAAGGACGAAAAAGCGCGCCCTCGCCCAAAGAAGACGAGAGCGTTAACTTCGTACTGATGTTACGTAAAGGAAACAAGCAACAGTTCAAGGACTTTGAGGTACCCATCTCGTCCAACCTGGCATCTACTGTCAGGCAGAAGCAAGTAGCAGAACAGGCTGAACAAGAGGAGCTGAAGCGGTTGGTGTTAGATTACAACCAAAGACAAGAAGAGGAGACGTACAATGGTAGAGGAAACCTTTCTAATTTYCTTGTACTTTGCTTTTCTTTCGTTTTCTTTACTTTACTCTTTTTTCTTAACTTTCGTTTTTCGTTTTTCTTTTCTTTATATTATAGTTTCTTCACTTCCTTTCCTTTTTTCTATTTTCCCTTTGTTTTATTCATCTTCTTCGGTTTCAAGAGATATCTTTTTCATGCTTTCATTCCCATTCATTTCTCATTCAATCTCTGCCTTTCTACTTCACCTTGTTGACCTCTCCTTTCCTTTCCCGTTTTTATATTCTTATATTATAGTTGTATTTAGTCATCTTTTCCCACTCGACAGAAATCATGTCTCAGCAACGTCAAGGGAGCGATTTTGTTGGGCGTGGTCAATACCATCGCCAAAAGAAGCGCCCCCCTCCYCCCTACAATGGTAGCACGGACACCGCTGGAGGAATGTTCCCTAACATGACAAGGTAAATATCCTTTCTTGCTTATATATCTTGYTTATATGCTACATCAGGGCAATAGCCACAAGTACGGTTGGCCGGTTTTATACGCACCACTTTTTACCTTCAGCACCGTTTTTCCTCCTCGTAAAAAATATTTATTACACAAKCAAAAAATACTAGGACCACCTTTTTTAAAAACTGCATGGACCACGGTCCAAGTGGTGGCTACGGCGTTGATGTTAATGGAAATAGTACGTGTTTAAAGTGCTTATAAGCCTTTGCACAATATTTTCAGAATTGATTCTTTATATAGTGGATAGTTGATTGTGAAAATATTTCGTCATTTGAACGTCGGGTCTTTAAGATACGAAGTTTTTTATTCCCAATATGTTAATGACTATGACGTAACATAAGGGATCATTTAATATACAACACTGCACTCGTTCTGGAATACAGTATTGTAAAAGCATCACCCTTTTACTCGTGACTCACGTAAAGGTTTTTACAAACTTGCTTTCAAAAAATGTCCAGCATTCAATATTAAAAGTTGCCACAAAATAACTCAAATCCCTTATGTTACGTCATATTCATTAACATATTGGAAATATAAATCTTCGTATCTCGAAGACCCGACATTCAAATGACGAATTATTTTCACAATCAACTATTCACTATCTAAAGAATCAATTCTGAAAATATTGTGCAAAGGCTTATAAGCACTTTAACGCTTTCACAGAAACTTTCATTCTTCTTATTGTTAAAAACATTGTATTTTTATCTTCTATAATTTCTTTCTTTTATCTATCTACCTCTCTTCCCAAGCCTTTCCTTTATAAACTCTTCCTTCGCTCCTATTCTTAAAGACATTAAATATCGTTCTTATAATTCCCAAAGGAAACGTTGATGTGCCGGTAATCTTGGTGTACCTCCGCTACACCTAAAACTTCACAGATTACTCTACTCCTCAAGCTCCAAGCTGGTCATGACCCATGGTTATCTAATCGCAGAGGGCAACTCTCGAGCTGACCCTGTCACGCCCAACATCTGAGACGTTTTGAAGGAACGTTTTTAAACCGTAGTTTGTTTACGTTGCGATCAAACTAGGGATGGTTTTAAAGGCTGATGGCCTAGATTGTTTAAWGATATATTAGTACGATGCAGTGGGTATTCTCCATGCTCTTTTATTCTTTCATCATTATTATTAATAATCTCTTTGCTATTCTTGTTGTATTTCCACTGCCAGCGAGTTTGCTTAATCAACTAATATTAACATCAGGAAACTAATTTAACTGATCTCCATTGTTTTGGATCTGGTTAACTTTGACCATCTTTTCCCATGTCTTCCCATTCTGTTCGTTTCTTTCCCTTTTATGGTTTTCTTTCCTTCCTATTCTTCTTCAAAGATTTGTTTCGAA